TGCGTCCAGTCGCCTCCTCGCGCAATTCCCAGCCGGCGTCGCCCGGTCGGGCTTCTGCCTGGATGCTGAGCCGTGGTGGCGGCTCCAGCCTGTAGCCCCCGCACTGCGGGACGCTAGGCCGACGACTTGGAGATTTAGCGAGATCCTGTCCCAGAAAAACAGAACTCGCTAGCAGTTTGCAGACTTGGTGTTTTTTTGAGACAACATCTTGCCATGCAGTTCAGTCAGGCTGGTCTCGAACTCACTAGCAGTCCCGGCTGGCCTTGAACTCGCAGCGATCCTCCTCCCTCAGCCAGGATGACAGGCGTGTGCCTACACTCCTGGCCAAACTTGATTTCTTATTCAGACCCTTTTCCTGTCACCTGTGACCCTGAAGTTGCTTCGTTGTCCAGTACCGGGCCTTGAACCCATGGCTTTCACACTGAGTTGCACTTCATCCCCTTTTCTTGAGATACAGTTTAAAGTCACATGAGCTCGAATTTGTGATCCTACTTCCTCAGTTTCCCAGAGTGCTGGGATTACAAGCTGAGCCTCCACACCCTGCTATTTAATTTGGGGATGGAGGGGGCTTCTTCCCTTTTTTGTGGTTTCAGTGTGTCAGTACTCTCTTTGCCTATTTTTACTGTATTCTTAACAGGTTAAAATGAGTTGAAGACAGTAAGGACAAAGGGTTTTTCAAATTTAGGATTTCAAAAAGGGGTTTACATGAGAAATAGATCATTAGAAGCATGAAGTCAGCACAAGGCAGGAAAAAATGAAATTTTTGGTTTTTGATACTGTTTGTGGTTCAGTGGCTGTCGCAGCATACTAAAGTGTATTCATATTCATAGTGAATTTTCCACTTACCATACTGCGAAATCCAGGGAGAGAACAGTAAATCTCAGGGACCAGCTTTCATTTAATTGCTATAACTCCATGGAGTAGGTGTTGCCATACATACCTGACCCTTCTGCCTTAGTCTCCCAAGTGCTGGGTTTACTGGCATGTGTCATAATACCTAGTGTAGAATTTCTTAACTAAGCCACACTTTTAAGTGAGCTGGTAGAACAGAGACTGAAATGATGTGTAGCTGTGAGTGGTGATCCTTTATGTATTCATAACAATTTCTTTTTCTTTCGCTAGGTGGAAAATTTGCAGCCAGAAATATCAAACATTGCCAGGCATGTTAACCAAGAAGTTGCACTTTGTGCTCATCAGTTGGGGTGGTCCAAGAGAGTTACCAGGTAAGTGATTTTATGCAGAAATGGAGATGTTCTGTATTGTAGCTTTGGCAAGAAATTTATTCCTTTACTCTTTCATTTCATATCATGCCACTAAAGTATGATAGTTTTTACATATTGGGCTGAAAGCAAAGATAAGAACTTGTTCCTGTTCTGTTGTTTTTGTGGTACTAAGCATTGAACCCAGTGCCTTTTGCATGCTGGGCAAGTATTCTGCTCACAACATCCCCAGCCCTAGGAAATTTGATTTTTAGACAAGGTCTCAGTAAGTTGCTTAGTTTAGCTTCAAATTTGTAATTCTGCTTCCTCAGCCTCTCTGGAGTAGCTAGAATTTCAGGCATGTGCCATCATACCCTTTTTTGGTTTTGTTTTGGCACTGGGAATCAAACTCCAGGACTTCGCGTTTGTGAGGCAGGTGGTGGCACCACTGAGCTAAATCCCAGGCCTACCATGCCCTTTTTTGAGATTGCATGTAGCTCATTTGCCTAGGCTAATCTCACCAAACTTTTTTTTTTTCTTTCTTTTCTTTTTGAGATTGGGTTTCACTGGGTGGTTCAGGCTGATTTTGAACTCACTTTGTAGCCCAGGTTGGTCTTGTCCTGCCATAACAGTTGTCCTGCCTCAGCCTCCAAAGTGTTGGGATTACAGGTGTGTGGTGCCACGTGCAGTAGTCTCAAACTTCTAAGCTCAAGTGATCCTTCTGCCTTTGCAGAGACTACCTTCTGAGACTACCACACCCAGCACTGTTCCTGTATTTGAGGGACTCCATCCCACTGCAAAAGAAAGACTTGTAATCAAGTGATGATGGCAGTGGATACAGCACCTTATGACTTCCCAAAGTTGTCCATATATTTATTTATACACACACACACACACACACACACACACACACACACACACATATCACTATATATATATATCACTACACAGGTGGCCAGCTTTTGAGGAAGGCACATCTGAGGGCTTCCTGGCTGTTTAGCAGTGTTGTTTTAAAGGGCAAAACAATTTGTTAGATCATATACTTCCAGAGGTGTGCTGATGTGGAAGTCTCATCTGTTGGAGACCCAAATTTATTCAGGGACCAAAATAAGCAGCTGTCTCTACAGAAGTAACAGGAAGTAAGCTGGAAAGAATAGAAGGTCCTATAGTGTATACTGTCTTAATTCACTACAGTTTTAATTTGGTTAAATACAGCAAAGCTGTGAATGATTGCCTGACTGCCTTGTACAAAATGTATGATATAAGATAGTTAAAGGTAAGATTGAACTCTTGACCTTTGAGACTAAAAAGAATAGAAGTCATTAATGTGCTAAACAGATTGAAAGAATCACTGTGAGAGAGTTGATTGGAAAGTGTAGACCATTTTGATTGTGCAACAGAGTATACACTGGTGTGTGTTCCAGGACAGAAATGCATTGCTGCAGAAAAATACAGGAAAAGCTCTAGTGCTCAAGTTTTGCAGGCTCGCAGAGGTTGAGTGCAGTATGCTTTCAAATAGTGACTTTTTTTTTTTTTTTTTTTTTTTTTTTTTTT